CGCTTCAGTGCATGGCTGCTGGCCGCCATCTTGGCTGACAGTTAATTTGCATAAGGATATGCTGATTAGCCAATGGGAAGGGTAGCGGTCATACGCTAATTACCATGTTTCTCTTTTATTAGTGTAGATATCGAGGATAACTTTCCCGCAAATGATTATTATAACAAAATAATCTATAAAACAATTTGAAGGCACATTAAAATGACCAAAAGCAGCCAGAAATTATGATAGATTCAACCCTCAAAAGAATTAAATTGCATTGAGTCAGATCCACATTTGTTTGACTTTTTTGTGAAGGCATTTCCCAATTCATATGGCACGAGGCAGTTATAATTCAAGCAGAAATCTGCTGTTTTATTAAATTGATGTGTCAGAGGCAAGTTTGGGGCTCAGAGAGGAGCTGTAAATGGAAGGGGGAAATCCTGAGAAGGAAGGAACCACAAGGAGACGAGGCCCCAAATCAGCATATAAATTCTACTAAAGTCCTTGGCTGACCTTTGAAAGCACAAGGAAAACTGCAAGAAGTTTAGTGGAAAACAACAGCTGGATATTTGAAAAAGCTGAGCAGCTATCTCAGCTCCTGTCAAATGCAAATGAGATAAAATATAGCATCTGACTTTTGTTTTATTCACTTTAGGATTTCCATAGAAATTACAGAAAGCCACAACTTCATACTAAAACAGGATTAAAAAGTTATCTTTAGACAAAGGACAAAACATGAAAAGACCCATGTTTTAAAAATATAAGACTAAAAGTGCTACATGTTCAAAGTAATTAGCCAGTGATATTTTTTTGCTTTCTAACACCAAGACAATAGTCTAACATCCAATAAAAATACTACTAGACTTGCAAAGACATAGGAACAGTTTAACCTGTAGTTAAAAGAAAAGCAATGTGTAAAAATGGACACTGACTTGATCCAGTTGTTTAAATTGGCAAACATTTTAAAGCAATTGCTATAAATATGTTTAAGGATATACAAACCATAATGATGGCCATAATGGGTTATTCTGTTGAAAGTCTCAGCAAAAATTGTAAACTATTTTAAAAAAACAACTGAAATATCTTAAATAAAAAATTCAATGATGGGCTTAAGAAGAGCCAATTGATGATGATAAATTAAAGGGTATGTAAATGTAAACAATAAAGGGAAAATATTGAACATAAATACATAAATGGTGCCTAATGTGATCTGTGAGAAATGCCACTTGCACATTTGAAGTTGCAGAGGAAAGAAAAAGATAAATGACTATGAACATTCAAAAATTATGACAGTAGCCCAGCTGGTGTGGCTCAGTGGTTGAGCACTGACCTATGAACCACAGTCACAGTTCCATTTCAGGTCAGGCCACTGGTTGCGGGCTTGATCCCTGGATGTGCAGGAGGCAGCCGATCAATGATTTTCTCTCATCATTGGTGTTTCTATCTCTCCCTCTCCCTTCCTTTCTGAAATCAATAAAAATATATTTAAAAAAATTATGACAGTAAATGAAAGATACAGGTAACTCAGCAAATCACAAGCCACATACACAGAAGTGAACTCCATGCAGACACAGCATTATCAAACAGCTGAAAGTCAAATACCAAGTGAAAATCTCAAAGCAGCCAGATACAACCTTCAGACGTTCTTATTTTATATAAGGATTCCCATGTAACGAATTTTTTTTTCTTACAACAAATAGATGGTACAATTTCAAACTTTCTTTTTATTGTTTGGACTGGCTATTTCTGTTATTTTTCTGCGTAAATATGAGGGTATTTTGTTCTTTTGAATGATCAAATTATTCTTAAGAAATGCAGTGAGGTTTCTGCCTATTATACTTTTTCTTGTGTTAATGATCACTCTCTATTTTGCAACTAGTTTCCCAAGATTATGTCATGTACATAATGTACACACATATATATATGTGTGTGTGTATGTGTGTAAGGTGTCCCAAAAATGTATACACACTTTGAATGATTATAAGTCAATGTTTATAAATATACAGTTTATTTTCAAAATTTAAAAGAATCTACAGAAATGAATACTTTTTTTTTGTCAACACCTGTTTTCAAACTGATGATCATTCTGGTCCAGGCATAATAACTCTAAGCAAAGAACGGCAAACATCAAGATTCATTTTGTTTGGTATTTGTGTGCTATCAATTTATCCACTGTTGCTGGTTTTGTACTATCAACTTCACCTTTTGTGTATCCCCATAAAAAGACTAGTGGGTAAATTTTCTTTGTGCAAAGCTCAGTGTGGCTTCACCCATTATTTCAAGTCAGTTAAAACTGAAAAGGAGTGAAAATTAAGTAAGGTATCAGATGTTAGCGTGTGTATACATGTTTTTGGGACACCCTATATATAGTATATTCGAGTAAGTCCCATATTAAACTTATTAACAAATTTGAAAAATTGTCCTTTACAAAAACCCCAAAGCTAACATTAAACTTGGTGGTGAAAGATTGAATTATTTTCTGCTAAGATCAAGTAAAATGCAATAATTGCAATAATGTCCACTTCCACAAATTCTATTCAATATTGTACTAGGAGTTATAGCCCTTGTAATAAGGCAATAAAAATAAACACAGCAAATAAAATCAGAAAGAAAAAAGTAAAATTCTACCTACTTATTAAATTAACATAATAAAATGCTCATTTATTTGTATGCAGTTCTATGAATTTTAATGCAGAAGTCAACTCTTTCTGACAGTCCTACTTGCCGTGAGTTAGCCAAATGGACTCTTTCTCCTCATATCACCCATCTGACCCAAGGGTTGGACACTATACCCTACTCCTTGGCCAACCTGTACCATTTCAACACATAGGAGCTGAGATTATAGCTGCTAATATCATGGTCAGCACAATAAACACCAAAGGGAAGGCGATAGTGACCCCTGAAGCCCCAGAAATCTATATTACCTGTCCTGCATGCAGGAGCTGATTAACGTGGGTTAATCCGTATTCTGTAGAATATATTAATCATGTGGAAAACATCTGTTTGAATGACCAACAAAATAGCATACAAAATTCTATTTTCTATTCGTATAACATCTTAGATGCCAAAAAATAAACGAAATCATGCACTTAATGCTTAAACTGTGTGGGAGACACCTGCCTTTGGAAAAGCAATATCTTCAATTTATGATCTAAACTATCAAATGACTCCCAGATTGCAGGGTCAGTTGGTTGGTGATTAGCCTGGGGGCCACCCCATCTGACTAATACCTTTGCCGTTTAATTTACTAATGCAGGGATAAAATTGTGGGTTGGAATTTGTCCTCAGCTCTTGATGATATGCCCCTTAATATTCTTTATTTTATGTACAATCTGATTATGCTCATCCCTTTGATGGTTGCTGGGTGGACACTCCCATGTCCAAGCATTTCCATAAAACAGGAATGAAATACCATGAGATGCATCATTTAGCAGGACTGGAAATCAGACTGAGAGAGAGAAACTTTAGCCCAGGGCTACAAGGCATGATCAGGAGTCGAAAACACGGAGCAACAAACAAACAAACAAACAAACAACAAAAAAACCCCTTGGCCTCTGACCCTATTTTTCTACCACAGAATTTAGGGTTGGAAAACAGTGTGCCCCAATTCCAGCTTCTGAGACACGTGGACTCAGTCTTGAGGCTACAACCACATGACATAAAGGAAACCTTGCTTCCTGTCCTATTTTGCCACTCGGGATTTATGAATGGAGAACAGCCCTTCCTCCAGCATATTAGAAGTAATGAGGTCTGATTCTATAGAAAGCAACTGTATGGCATAGGGACCAGCAGCCTCTGGTTCTGATTCACTACCTCTGCAATGTCTCCAGCATATTAGAAGTAATGAGGTCTGATTCTATAGAGACCAGCAGCCTCTGGTTCTGATTCACTAACTCTGCAATTTATCAGGATTGCTCATTTTATCCACTTAATTGGTACCTATTTCCATGGAGCTACGAGGGGTCTAGTACCTTTCTAGCAGGGTGGCCTATAAATAATGGTCTTCAAAGTATGGTCTCTGTCCTAGCAGCATAGGCATCCCCTAGAAAATTGTTAGAAACTCAAAGCTAATGGATACTGAGAATTTCCAACTATGATGTGCAGTTCTCCAAACACATTAACCACAAAAACTTTTCTTTGGTACATAAGCATCTCTTTAGGCTTATCTCTATATATAAAAGCCCAGGGACCAAACGGTGACAACTGGTTCGACAACTGGTCGACCAGTTGCTATGATGTGTATTGACCATCAGGGGGCAGATGTTCAATGCAGGAGCTGCCCCCTAGTGGTCAGTGCGCTCCCACTGTGGGAGCTCAGCTCAGCTGACTGGGATGAGCGGCTGCAGGGTGAGGCCAAGTCTCTGCACCAATCAAATACCTGAGACCATCCAGACTCTGGCCTGACCCCACCAGCTGATGCAGGCCCTCTAAGGTGTGTTCTAGAAAGAGCGCGGGGAGCTGGCATAGGCGGATGGCAAGAGGGGACGTGGACCCCCCGGGGAGGCTGTCCTGATGGCTGAGGATCTTGGAGCACGGCTGCCCTGAACATCCCCGATGGTGTCACCGAACTGGCATCACACATCAAGGACATTCACCAAGTGGCTTTGGGGTGCAAAGCTCTCCACCAGCTTCCTCAGGACACAGAACACGCCTTTACCCAAGACATTTCCCCAAAATATCAGCTCAGACTAATTTCTTCATTCAGCAGCTGCTCAGAGGGCAGGTCCACAGCCGCTGGGCTGACCAGGATGAGCAGCGCTCCCACAGTGGAGTGATCCCCACAGGCCACGCCCCCAACCAGTGCACGAATCTGTGCCCGGGCCTCTAGTGTTCAATAAAATACCCTTAGTAAAACAGAACTTCAGAGCATGAAATGCAGTTCAAAATTATGCCCAATGATATTTCCTTTCCTTTAGTTGAACAAAAGGCATAAAATTAAAAAGCACATGAAGAAACCAGGCTGTTTCTTTCAAAAATAAATACATTTAAAGTGAATGGATGAATTAAGAACTAAGCATATAGCTGCATCTTATTCATGGTTAAGTCATTGAAATCTAGAAAATGAGAAGCAGATCTACTGTGACTGTGTACGTTCCCACAGTTTCAATGCCTGTGAGACCCAGTCTGCTGGAGTTTGTCAGTGTTCCAGGTTTTAAATAAGATGTCTGTATATTTGCTCTACATGGTATTTCAGGAAGCTCTTAAACTGATTTTAACTCCTATGTCACAACAAAGTCACTTAATTTGAGCTGAGAACTGAATGAGTTTCCATCCAAAAATCAATTCTAAAACTAATGTGTCTTTGTACACTCACTGATGGGCATTTTTCCATATTTCATGAGTTAGGAACTCACAGTTCTACCTCCTTGTAAACTTGGTTTACCAGTTGAAGGATTAGAACCAAATGGAGCTGGACATTCAAATGGGAAATGAGTTTAAATGTTAGTCCTCTACCCAGAAAGAAAAAATGAAAACAACCGAACATTTCACTTTTCATATAGATAAGTTAGCAATTAATAATAACATCATCACAACTTATAGTTATTAATTGCTCATATATTTCAAAAAATCAAGTTCAGTAGGTTAAAGTAATTATTAAATCAAAATAAGCCCCTTTGTCTAAATTTATCTCTTGATATACTTACACATATATTAATAAATATATATATGTATAAAGCCTAAATGATCATTAATAGGACTTAGGTTTAGCACATAAATTTAGCACATGTTTACAATGAAATACTATTATGGTAACAGATCATCATATGCTCATATTGTTAAGTTCAACCTTGGTTAGAAATTTAACTAAAGCCACAGCTTTAAACCTGAGCCTGTGACAAAATAATTTAAAGGAATGGAAAAATTTTGACACAAGGATTTCAGAAGTTTCTCGGACACTTTCCTTGAAGGCACAAAGCATGCAGACAATAAACCAAGAGGATATTTAGAAGCCGTTGATTTGAGTGGTTAGGTACTGTATTAGTGCTCATGGGACAGGCTGTAGTTAGAATAACAGCTGGTTGAAGAAGCCCTGCATTCTGGTCTCAGTGTTGCCATGATTTTGGACAAGTCCCTGGATTTCTTTGAGCACCATTCTCCGCACTGGTAAAATTAAAAGGCCAGATCAAATAATCTCTAAGAACCCATTGCTATACAAAATTCTGTAACCTCTTGTATCATTGCCACTTAAATTTTCCTCCCTCCTCTCTTTGGGAGATCATGCTTTTAACAAGCTGAGAAAGATGTGAAAACATTTCTTCGGAACCAAATACCATACAGCAGTACGTTCGTAGTCCCAAGTCCTCTGAGTGATGGGGAGGCTCCATATTTATTAGAAGATCCTACTGCACTCTGGCTAGTGGGTCATTCCTGTGCACAGGCCCCGTTGCCAATCTTAAGTATTCTTGACTATCAAGCCTAGACTTACCCACTTATAACAGGAAGGACAGAGATGTGGGAAGAACAGGAGATGTAGAGAGGATAGTTTGGGCCTAGAAAATGACTTTAGCTTGGCTCTAGGGCTCTCTTTATTCTCTTTACAAATACTGTGTCTTCCTTTTGAAAATGTGGTTATATTAGGTGTATCGGTTAATAATGCAGATTTTGTAATCAAAGAAGACACGATAATTTCAAGAGAAACATCAAAAGTGCTTTATTCAAAGTAATGTCCATCGCTAGCTACACATTTTCCCCCATCTTTCAGGTAATTTGTGGATACCGTCCCAAGAGAAATTTTCTTGTTTTGAGGCAAATCATTCAGAGACCCAATTTTCCACTTCTTCATATGTTTTGAAGTGCTGCTCAGAAATTGCGAGTGCCATCGATCGGAACAAGTGGTAATTTGAAGGAGCAAGGTCTGGTGAATACAACGGGTGGGTTAATACTTCCCAGACAAGATCTTTTAATGTGTCTTTAACTGGTTTTGAAGTGTCTGATGGTGTGTCCTCATGAAGCAAAATTACTTTGCCGTGTCTTCTGGCACATTCTGGTTGTTTCACGATCAAAGCATGGTTCAAATTGATTATTTGTTTTCAGTAGCGATCAGTATTAACAGTTTCACCTGGTCTTAGAAGCTCATTAATACACCACACCTTCCTGATCCCACCAAACGCAGAGCATTGTCTTCTTTCCAAAGCAATTTGGCCTTGCTGTGGATGTTGATGGTTGACCTGGATCAACCCAGGATTTTGTGCATTTGGGATTCTCAAAATAATCCACTTTTATTCAACAGTCCATAATTCGATGCAAAAAAGACTTTCTTTTGTGCCATTGAAGCAACATTTTACTGATGACTTTTTGGTTTTCCATTTGTCTTTCGTTCAGTTGATGTGGCACCCATTTTTCTTCCTTTAAAATCTTTTCCATTGCTTGTAAATGATCAGAAATTGTTTGCTGAGCAACGTTTAATCTTACTGCAAGTTGTTTTTGAGTTTGACACGCATCTTCATCCAATAATGCTTGTAATTGTTGGTCTTCAAACTTTTTCGGTTGACCTGGATGTTCTTCGTCTTTCACATCAAAATCATCACTTTTAAAGCGTTTAAACCAGCATTCACAAGTATCTTGAGATGGAGTATGTTCACCATAAGCTTCCTGAAGGATTCAGTAGCACTTTTCTTCAAAATAATGACTTAAAACTTCCCGCAAATGCTCTTTTTTGGCATAAAATTCGACATATTTAAGTGTAAAAATATCTATGATGTTAACACCTTCAGAAAATTTGACATATGAAGTTTTGAAGCTTGTTGTCAATACAACAAAATAGCATACATATCAAATCGCATATATATCAACATATGTGTAACTCCATCTATTGAAAAAAATCCACATTATTAACCAGTACAGCTAGTAAACTATGAGTCATGTTTGGTGGGTGATTGAGAACTATTAGATAAGTAAGTGCTAATCAAATGGGTAGCAATTGTATTTTAAATAAAAAATACCAGATGACTGATGAAGTGTATTTTAAATGCAAATGCCAGAAAATTATATGCAATATTTTTGCATAACATTTACATATACTTTTATTGATGTCAGTGAGGAAGGGAGAGGGTGAGAGAGATAGAAACATCATTGATAAGACAGAATCATTGATTGGCTGCCTCCTGCATGCCTCACACTGAGGATCCAGCCAGCAACCTAGCCATGTGCCCTGATTGGGAATCAAACTGTCACCTCCTGGTTCATAGGTCAAAGCTCAGCTGCTGAGCCTCTACAGCTGGAATTCTCCATAATTTTTAAGGCATCTGACCTGTGACCTCACATGCAGAAGAGGTTCCTGGCAGAAAGGGGTGGATTTCTAACGACCACTGCTGATTTAAACAGTGTTGGG